CCAAATTCCTATCTCGTAGGAAGCTGCCTTGCAGAACGAGTTGTTGTGGGGGCATACAGCGCACTCAAAATAGGACAACGAGACAAGTCAGGAACCGGGAAAATTTATCTCAAAGGAAAATAAGATCCCTCTCACCCTCCAGCGACCAAATACGACCTCACCCATCTCGCTGGGGATTCTCAACGCACGACGTGCCCTGGGTTAAAGACTTGTGGGGCCTGAAGCCCACATCCATTTGCTATGCCGTTTTTTAGTCGTACTTATTGAGTGGTCGTATAGCAAAAGGATCGGGGATCAACCCTCAACGCCTTGGTACGCTGTAACCTGAAACTAGAATCTTTCAGATGCACAAGATGGTCTGGTCTCCAATCGCGGAGACTGCACTACATTAAAACTGCTAGTTCTAACTCCCTCCCAATGTAGCCGGCGTCTCGTGATAATACTGTAGTCTCTCCCCGTCGCTTTCTGGGCTCTTTCCGTGCTATTTGGTGCATCGTCTCCTTTTGCGTATTGGAGGTGATCCTGACCATCTTATGGTTGCCTAGTAATCATGGTCAACTGCAGGATTGGGAGCTTTATTGAAATCGGTTCCTCTACTGATACATCAACTAGCCTATCTGGTTTTGAACTCTACAACACACGAGACAGTCAAGGAAGAAGCCTTCAAGGCATCTCAAGCCTTTCCTGATTAATGCTAAGCTTGCATATGAATTTTAGCGTGGAAACACAGACGTAAACATCATTTGCCATCCAAATCCTTGGCGTTTCCATTTACACAAGTACCTCAATGGTTCCAGTTGAAATCGCAGATGTTTTACATCCGGAGGCTTTGAGTGCAGTTTTGATAGAAAACCAATTTCCGAAAGACGGTATGAAGAGAAGGAGGGGATGTCGTCTCTTTGGTCCAAGGTGGGAATCTCGAACCTTCTTGTTAGGACTGATTGGGCCTTCCGTTCTTCCCCTTTGAGTGAACTGGTACCGGACCTGTCTCCAATACTAGGAGAAGTGACTTGTACAATGACAGGCTCTTAGATGTCATTGTATTGGCACTAAAAAGTCTACTACGATTTTAAGAGGAAACAGGATGCGTGACACATCCTTAAACTGTTCTATTAACGCCAAAAGCCTATGGAGCTTTCTGCCCATGGTGGGTAGGAGATGTATTGATCTTCTGCTCCTATAGCAAGTTAGAAGTATAAACTGTCTGTGTATAAGTTCAGTGAAGCTCCAGGGAGCCTGTATGACATTTAGTGGAACCGAAAGGTCAGAGTACAAACAAGCAGTGCAGGTTTGTGGTAATCCTGCGGCAGAACGTCTTCGCGAGCAGTAACATATATATTTCATGAAGGGAGAGAAAGTAGTCATAGAAAGTTCTGTGCAACTTTCGAGTTCCGCATTTGGACTTCCTTTATTGTAGAGCATAGGCAATATATTCAGGGAATCTATGCTCTATTGCTAATGTTCGCTCTACGATGCGATTTTGATGACTGCCAAGTTCAATCATGTATTTTCTTTTCAAGATCTTAAAAATTTGTTGGGATATCCATTTGTAAGCAAAACGCCTACCATGAACTAAAAGCAACTTGAGCCCTTCTATGAACTTTAAAGAAAAAGTCCTTGAAAAAAGGGTCCAAGGTCTTTCACAAAATCAATGGAACATTCGCCATCGGTTGTCTGGATGTTTTTTCCTCACCATATGGGCCAGTTTCTCAGGCAAATCAGACGTTGCTGTGCAAGGCTGTGCAACGATTTTTTTTCAGTATGAGTGTGATGGATATTTGTCTGAATGCTCCGTGCATTCGGCCGCACTGATTTCAGCTCGATTTTGTGATGTAATGAACCTCCATATACTGGCTATGTGGAGGGCGTGGCTGTGTTCTCTACCTGAACATAGCGTAGCGAGCGTGCCTAAACAAGGAATTTTTAATGAGAATTTTCCATCTGAAACAATCGATCCTGTCTGTTGCTGGACAAGGACATTACTGCGACTGCCCCAAAACGAAAAGAGCCCAGAAGAAGCGCAGCCCTGCCAATGAAGAATGTAGCCAGATCCACTTCATGTCCGGGATATGGAGTGTTGTGGTTTGTATTGACCCTGGGTTGAAGCTGAACTATTTGCATAGTTCAAATGAATCATCCGTGGTAGAGAGCAGCTAGACTCCTTATCCCTGAGCCAGAGTAGGCGTGGCATTTGAACATGGCACGGAATTGGTTACTCGTGGAATATTCCAGTCTGGGACAACTGTCATCTTGTTCTGTGTTGGACAGAGACACGACCAATTGTGTCAAGATTAAAGGCACAGTTCGCGACCGCAAATTGCGGGAAACGGAACTCAAATAGGCACAAAAAAGTGCTAAGTATCTGATTAGCGGAGAAAAGCAGCAGAAAAAGCAGTCCGAAATGTTATAGAGAAAGATAACATAGTGGCTACTAGCTAGTAGCTAGCAGCCGGTGAGGGTCGGCATGGGCCTAAGGGGTGTCCATGGGCCTAATTAGTCAGCTTCTAGCGGAGTTCTTGCCGTTTTTCACATTTTGAAAGTAGCGCAGCCTCAAAAATCGCCTTCCGGATCGTCCGACACATTTGAGAGGTCATAGCCTTATTTTATCGCGGAATGTGCCTTTAAAGTACTCACCAGAAGCATGGACTCCTTCAGGTTAAGTTGAAGCATGCAGCCACGCCTACCCGATCTCAGGGATTTCGAGTATATCTGTGCAGAGATCAGATTAGTCCGCGAAAATGACTGATCGGCCAACATCTTGTCTGCTTTTTACCGCTTTTGCAGTACTACATTATAGATAATATTCATTAAAGTTCTAAACCCGCATTTTAAATGTCGTGGTGAACCTCGAAGGTGCTCGCTTTCATTTTTCCCATAGCGTTTTCTCTTTAATCGGACTGTACTGTATGGTTTCGATAACTCTCCTGTGCCAAGGAGACTGGTAGGTGGACAGGCATTTATTGGCGACCTGAAACTGAGCGGGTCGTTATGGTCAAAAGCCTGCTGTAATACCGAAAGAGCTGATCATCACCCATCTTGTTACTTGTTATCAGAAAAGCCGATTTTTCTGGTACTGATAGACATTAGCACGAAATGGCGCCGTTCTGCTTTGGGGTATGAAAAAGACTTCTGAATCTGGTCTGAGAATCTCCGGGCTTTCGAACCCTGAAAACCAAATCGTAGGCAATGATCCCGGTAACACAGCATTGGTTTACTATGCGTTTCTGAAAACAACTTCTCAGGTTTCTCATCCTTCCCTCCAGGTGTTTTTCGTCAGTCCGCGCTAAGTACTGGAACTAATCCACTTCTGATGAGACGCTAAGAGGCATGGCCCACTTTAGCCCGCACTTTGATGCTTCTTCTAATCTCGTTCATCCTTCAGCAAGCTTTTTGTGCTCTAACTTCCCTTATGGCTATGGTATGGTTGTAGTTTACAAATTCAATTTTTAGGAATATTTTTAGTATGCTGACTTGGGTGATTGTTATGGAACGGACATATGCTCGCATACTATGTAAAAAGTCACATCAAGTTAGAAGTTGAAGCGTATGGGAAGCTATGAAAGTGCGAGAAAGAAGACTGCTGTAATCCATATGTTCTGTTTGCCGAGTACTTTAGCAAGACTAGTTGCAGCTCGTCGGAATCGAAAGCAATACGTAGGCGGGCGGTGACAGCGCTGATCATCGCAGCCGCTGTACTCACTTTCCCCTGATCTCACCATTAACTCAGTTCTAGGGAACATCTTGCTTTACTCATCTTATTCGGTACCTTCATGATAACATAGATGAATTGGTAACGCACGAGTACTGGAGTTATGCAACATTGTAGCGATGTATGTTCAGTTTGCATGTACTGGACAATGTTGCCAGCCGATAACACGTCAGTTTACTCGTGTACTGAATGTTCTTTGATGAGTTTTCTTTAGTATCTCTGGAAGCAAATTCATTCCGTCTCCAAGTAGCAGGCACGCTGCAAGGGCACTCCGCAGGAAGATAAACACTGTTATCATGAGTATACAAAAGTCACATGGGCGTTTTGCCACTTAATCAAAAGGGTTTTGTGATCGTGTGGGCGAATTCAACGATTTTTCACTAACCCAAGACTTCTCCCCTGGGGAGTCGGAGTTATGATTCGCTTCTGATCGATTCTTCTGATCAATTTGGACCACCCCTATGAAAATATTTTTGATCTTTGAATCTCGTAGTTCTTGATGGCGGGACTATCGATCGCCATTGCGGGTGGCGCGCACTTCCCCCATCGGCCCACGACACGACAACACACTTCCAGAATAGCCATCTGTCTCGTTCCTATCTTCTTTGAATGCGGAGGAGTCGTGGTGGATCTCTAAGTCAAGGGCATAGCCAAAGCATATGAATCCCGAGGTTGGCGGAAGGGATCAAGAGGTAAACCTGGCCTGATGCTATCATATGATTTATCCTATCATTTCAATTAATTTCACTTTTATCTCGTATCTGTTCCGTCATCGTCCAGTTCTCGTAAGGGAGCTGCAGAACGTGTATTTCATATCGCATTTCTCACTGTGATAGTTGCTCGGTAATCATAAGTGCAAAACCGTGCAAGTCGCCCGACATTCGACCTTTTCGAAAAAAAGTGCCCAATGATTTCTTACCGTGTTCCTACTTTCCAAACTACTTTCCAAACTAGTCTGTATGTCTTCCATTTGCTTCATCTTTCACTTGCTTCTGTCATGATCTTTTTCCAGCCCCCCCCCCTCACTCCCTTCATGACGTCGCAGTTTACTGCGAAACGTGGGACAAAGATGTCACAAACACATCTTTCGGGGGTTTGTAATCGGGTGAAAACCGTGCAATAAAAAGGCTCTAGTGGCAGCGAATGGCCCACGCGGCTGTTGGATGGTGGCATTCGGCCCACTCCTATCACCACATGCTATGAATAAATATATCGCTTATTCGAAACAAATATCATCGTCTTCACGCTGCTGTTTCATCTACGTCAGTACAAATACTTTGTTTCAGTCGAAATGTCCGAGGCCTGGGTTACACTCGCTACTCATGATGGCTATGCTCAAGGAGCGCTGGTTTTAGCGCACTCACTGAAAGCTGTGGCAACCACAAAGAAACTTCATTGCATGCTCACAAATTCGGTATGTGACTCTCTTTGAATGTCTTTTATAATTACTTTTCCTTCCAAATAGTTGCTCTTATTCAAGAAATTCACTTTGCACTGATGTCTCCTGCGCTTTACACTGAGCGGTGGGCCAACGGCAAATCAGCCGAAGAGATCGTTGATCAGCCATTTTATCTTCGGGCGACTGAGAAAACATCAAAGCTGGGAGGCTGGGCCACCTATTTGGTTGGCCTAGGGGATTAGGACTACTGGAAATACCTCAGTAGGATCAGATGAATACTGCGAATTCCCCACCTTTTGAAAGGTGTTAGGAATCTTCTCTTCGCTATTTTCTGCTCTGAAACGGGGGCTTCCCAATGCATCCCCAAGGAGCTCCATGAAATAAAACGAGGAACCGTCTGAACTTTTGTTTTCAGTACGTATTGATCGGCTCTTTTAGGTGTCTCCTAGCCTTCGTGCCGAATTAGCGGCGCAATTCGATGAAGTGTCTTATGTAGATGTCTTGGATAGCAATGATCAGGTAATTATAAAGTACTTTCTTTTTACACTACGTTTGCAGCTATCTTATCACGCAGAAGATACGTTTTTAGCGCAAAGGCGAGATGTTTTTAGCGTGACTTCTGAGTGATAGGATCTTCTGATGGATGCACTTTCCTTCTTCTGCACTCTTTCAATCCCTTCACAGACCCGCTATTAGCAGTGACATTTGTAGGGGCTTCGGAGTATTACTTTCAGAGCATGTCTTGCCGTTGGGGTGAATTTTTGCGAAATACGGTCCCCTACTCCAAAACTGCCTCATTTGGTACGACCTCTCCCCTATCTTACTTACAGTCTTCCTGATTTTCTCAACTTCTTACTTATTTCTGAACTTTATTTTTGTAACTTCCTCCTTTTTCACAGAACTGCTGTCGAGCGGAGTGGACAGGGGGATGTAGCGCGCGTGAAACAGAAAACCTTCAAATCTTTTTGAGTAATAATCGGAAAGTCTTGAGCGCTAAATCTGGTTAGCGGGTCACAGCTGGCGGCCATGATAATCATATCCCAGTTTTGTATTTTTTTTTGAAATTTCCTGAATCATCCACTTCTATACTGGTTGAAATCTTCAGGAAAACCTTGCCCTGATCGAGCGACCTGATCTTGGTTGCACATTCACGAAACTTCACTGCTGGCGATTGACACAATACACGAAGGCTGTATTCTTGGACGCCGATACAATGGTATGTTGGTTTTTTACAAGGAATGATACTGGCCACTCGTCTGTGCTCATCTTGATGTGAAACGCTGAATGCTAAGCAGTCGGAGGACTCGAAAAAGAACCCTTGAATAATTTTTTATAGAAGAGAAGAGAGCACCATAGTCAGTGCATATACCTAGTTAACCTGTATGAGTAATCTCAAGCATAGTCCAGGAACTACTTTTACAACGATCAGGGATCGTCGCCGATGCATGGAGTCCAAGTAATTAGTTAAGCAAATATTGATAAGATACGTTTGTGCGTCCGATGTTCTGCAATTTGCATTGGTTTCGATAGCGTACGTCACACTAGAGTTTTTCCCACAAAATTCAGTCTAAGTGAAGGGATTTTGGGTGCAACATTAAGACCAAGGTAACCAGTTCATGTAGTCTATACCTCGGAGATGAGAGGATATGGCTGAGTATTTCACTTGAAACTGCTTGCGTCCGTTCTGGGACACGTGTAATAATGTCTCTGTCCAGTTCGAGAGCGGACCAGTCAGATCACTTATCACTAACGGAAATATCCCAAGAGCAACGCATCTTATACTATGTCAAAGTGAAAGAAGCTACGCCCCCTCCCGCCTCTGGGATGTGGAGTATAAGGGACCAGCGAAAGCGATGCCGCTTTTTCACAATAAGCAACATGGAGTTGTGTAAAGCCGACTTTTTCAAGGTGGAATATCACTCGTACCTATGCCGTTTTTACACCTATGAGAAGCGTAATTTGATTGTTGATTTTTTTCAGGTCCTACAGAACGCCGATGAACTCTTTGAACGGCCCGAATTCTCAGCTGCAGCCGATATCGGATGGCCAGATTGCTTCAACAGCGGTGTTTTCGTCTACGTGCCTAGCATGGAAACCTACCGTAAGGAATTAGAATGAGTACATTGAAAAAGAACAAGTATGAACTGATGCTTTAGAAGGTGAATCGAAGTTTGCCGCTCTGAATCACACACTTGATGTTAAGTCAAAACCGTACAGAAAGATCAAAGGGGCATTCTGCCCTGATCATATGACTGGAGTCACTTGGGTACATTCCCCCATTCATTTGCTCTTTTTCTCAAAATCTTGAAGAGGAGGAGCATACGAAGGAGGAGAGCGTAATGCTCAAACTGAATCCATCCATACGATCAACGCAGGATAAGACCTTGAACCCCGCAGACGTACGACAATTTTTTTCGTGCAGGAGTAAATGCAGAAGCTGAGGATAGCCCTTGAACAGCTACTTACCTACCAATTCGCGATTTTTTTTCAAATTGTTAGCGAAAAAATGATTAGTTCCACTCCTGGAAATGTGCCACACAGTTCTCTCGAAAATGAAATCTACAAGGGGGCGAGCCCATTCAACGATATCTGATGCTAGGATGTGGTCAAGTAGGGGTGGGTTTTACTGGAAAGATCGTCAGCATGTCTGACATCTTCCAGGCAATAAGGAATCGAGTCGAGGCGGATAGTCACTCTTATGACCTCGCAAGCGAATGCTTTAGAAAATATTTCTTGTTATTGCTCATTGATCTAACGGGCTAGCTCACAACTCAACGGGTTAGGCTGTCAGCAAGCCCCAGCATTCATGTCGAGCTAGCGTTCTGGAGTAAAGACCAGGACCTTACCACCGCCTCAAGGGAGAACGCAATCTTCTCAAACAGTGCTTGTAATTGCAGTTTTCAAGCCCATGTGCAGTTCCCTTTGGATTATATCACTAAGCCCACTTCATACTGGTCATATTTTCAGTTATCTTTGAGCACACTTCAAAATGCATACGTATACTGAATAAAATAATTTGTATGGGCGTAACACCCTCTGAAGAAAGTTTCGGAAACTCTGAGCGATTGATAAACGTTTTCAGGTCGTTTGCTGGCGTTTGCCATCTCGCATGGCTCGTTCGATGGAGGTGACCAGGGCCTTCTGAATGAGTTCTTCGCTGGTTGGCGCGACTGGCCCGCAATCCATCGACTTCCATTCATCTACAACATGACAGCCGGCTCATTTTACTCGTATGCGGCTGCTTTCAAAAGGTAGCATTCATTAGGCAGCGTTCAGTGTCAACGGGGCAGCTCTTTCGGTCGCGAGATTCGAGGATTTACGTTCATGCTTTGAAACTGCATCAATCGCGTGGAACGCACGACCGAAGCGCTGTCGTCGCGAAGTCTGAATGCTGCCTCAGAATCCCACACCCTTGAAAAGGAGACAAAACTCGGTGATCCATTGCAGGTTTGGTGCTTCTACGAAAATTGTGCACTTTATCGGTGCTGACAAACCATGGCATGGAAGTTCAGGAGCCCAAGGTGCTCACCTAGAAATGTGGAGACAAATTCATCAGCAAAGTGTTGCTGCTCATGTAAGGACACATACAACATCCTCGTCATAGGTTTCCTCCATGTTCTTAGGCTAGGTGCCCTAACGTGCATCCTTTTTCCATTTCCCTATGGTCTGCTTTTGTGCGATTGTTTTTTGTTCTCTTTCGTCAGCTTTTGCAAAAATTTCAAATAAATCTGCTCAAAAACGGGCCATCAAATATGATAAGCGAGGAATACGTTCATTGATGGAAAAACGTCAGCTTAGCCAAGTGGTGAAATCGCTAGAACAAATTGTGGTTCACCTTGCTCAACCTCTTTTATCTGACCACTTTTCTTCAAGAACGACCTCGGATATCATTTCAAGGAGTGTCTTGCCCTTGTATGTGCATGTGATTGAGTTGCTGTGGCATTCAGTTTGATTGCTGTGTGTTTTCGCTTCAGAAGGTTGAGTTTCAATGTTCTTGATTGAAGACGTCGTCATCATGTCAGCCAACTTCGTCTGTTCCATCGTCAACGACGTTCTCACCGCCGATGCCGCCGCCATCTATAGAAGCTCAACATCATCATTCAACACCCAACCAGACTTCCTCGTCATCATCGTTTAGCCATACTCATCACTGTAAATCGCTTGATTCTCATCATCATCAGCAGCAGCAACATCACGACGATCATGGAATGACGTCGCATGTGCCTGAACCACAGCCTGAACAGCAATGTTTTCAGCACGTTACGCAGAATTTAGGTAGCAATTTGGTTTCTGATCGTGCGATGTGTGTAGATGTAGTATCGCATGCGTTCGTAGAACAGTCCCTTAGTGACGATGAAGAATCGACAAGCCATTTCACCGATGGCGAGGTGGTGGCGATTATTGTGAGTTTCATTAGTCGAATCCATTTGCAATGTTATTCGCATATCCTCGTGTAAACAAAGCAGCGTGCGGTATGCGCTCAGATTCTGATTGGCCTGAGGTCATGATCTCTGGTCAATCGAAGAACAATCGGCCAATCAGGAATTGTGGGTATGGCCACGTTGTATCAAGTGACCAGTTGCGCTTGAGGACACGTCTCTAGCATTGCAATTGAATTCGGCTGCCAATCTAATACGCATGGGTGATCATTTTCCGGAAGAATCCACTGCTTTTCATGTTGTGCAGGATGAGGGAAGTGGTTGTTGCTGAGTGGGTGGGAGAGCTTATCTATTTCCCTTCTTTGAACGATTTGCACATCCTACTGACATGTAACGCTATTAACGAAGAAGTAAAGAAGCAGGAATCATTACAGTAGTAGTAATAATCACTGCATTACAAAATTTTTTCAACCCCGCTTTGAAAGCAGTGGGCACGGTGTCTGGGGGGGGGGGGGCATACACTGCCAACGTTATTGGTGAAAGGCAGCGAGAGGGAGTTCAGCCACCCTCCATTCGGCCGTTCCACCAATGACGTTAACAGCAACCGCCCGCCCTCAGCCAGCGAACTCACTGCCTTTAGTGGAATATTTAATTTATTTACGAAAGGTATTATAGGGAGGAAGGTGAAGTTGTTGGGCTATTGTAATTAAGTGGATCTCTTTTCACCGTTTTATCCCTGAATTGAAAATATAGCATTGAGTTGGGGTGAGGGTAGTTCAAGGTTGCCACATGGCGAGTTACTACTCCGCTTCCTGCCTGTCTTGCCTTACCAAGTCTTTTTGAACCTATGGAACCTTGGGTATAACATTCTTGTTCGCTGTGGAGGCTGAGGCGGTCCAAGGAGCTGGGTTTGGAACGCTGCCAGCCTGTTCTCACCAATTAAGGAAGCTGGCAGGAGATCACATTGTGCTGAATAGGCTGGCGCTGTGCCAATCCCAGCCACTCGTAGGGTCCTGTTCTGAGTTTTCAGCAAAGAAAAACCAGGAATGTAGATAATTGTTATCGTTTCAATTAGTTGAGCACTCTCCCGTGTCGATGGTATTGGATTCTGCTGGAGGGTTATCACATTGAATGCATGATATTAATGATATATCCTTTGGAAACGTGTGACTTAACTGATTTGTAGCTTTTTTGTACTAACTCTCTAATTACAGAGTGAGGGATGCTCAGGCCAAGGTGACTGTGCTCAACAAAAGGTGGGTGTCACAGAAGTCGCAACAGAAAGTAAAAATGCGCCTCATTATCAGGGTTAACACAAAGCCATCAATTCCATAAGGTCATATAATCCTGACCTTCTAAAACTGGCTGAGGTGGTGTGTAGGCGGCTGCGAATATACATCCTTGCAGGTCGGAACAAAGGCAATGATCTATTTTCCAGTAAGGCGCCCGCGGCCTATCAACTCAGCGCAGTGCCCATCAGAGTCACCTTTCGAGGTTGCCCGGTGGGCGGAACTAGTACACGGCGTCATTGGCTCGCACCTCCTCTTCCCGCCTTCTTCACCGCCATAGAAGGCGGAAAGAAGGTGAGCGTGCCGGTGACGTTATTATTTGGACCCGCCCACCCGACAATCTTAAACGGTGTTGTGAATAATTGTGTTCACACATAGCCGGATGGAACGGGTTCTCAGTCACCGCGAAAACCTGGTTTTATGAAAGCAGTATAGTTATCCCGAGTCGTACTATTCCTGGCTAGTACTTCAGATACTGAAGATAGACTGTTTTCCAGACATCTGGGTGCGTTCCATGTTGGTTTTCTTTTTTTAATAACATCTATGCGAGCATGTTTCATATCAACCCTTAATAACTTTCGATTAGCCCTATTCCTAGATAGTTGGCTTTCATAGAGCTTTTATCTGAAAATGGAAAATGTGAACATACTGTTTTTTTTTTGGTTGCAATCCAGCTGTCGTATTTCGTCAGAATACAAATACATGAAAAATCCAGAGAATATTTTTTCTGGGAAACTGCAGAGCTCGTTATTTTACAGACTCCATCACCGAGTGAAGAAGAAAGACTCCGTGCTTGGGAGTCCGGTCATCCGGATTTCATGGGCCGTGACGCGTTCGCCAATATTCAAGCGGCGCTCGATCGTGCTCTTCAGGAGTGATCGATCAAACGATTGATCGATCTTCGCATCGATCCATATTGATGCACATGTTGACGTTTTATATGGCCTTTCTGAATTGACTTCTCCATCGTCGTAACAAGAGTAACCCTCTCTGTTCCTCTTTTCCTTTATCTCTCTATTCTAGTAAGATTACTCGTTCATTTTTATATTCGTTGAATCAATATCGACCGATCAGATCAGATCTACAACACTGGTGGAGAGTAGAACTCATACGAACATCTTACTCTATGCAATTTCCTCATACCGTAACTTTCAATCATCCTGGTGCCTGTAGGAGATCACTCATTTTATTTTGCCGTTCTCCAACCCTGCTCGCCTTCATCATCCCCTCAATCTCGCCTCACCCACCTATTCTCGCTCTCTCCTTAGCGATTTCGTTCGGGCGATATCGCCATTGCTCAAGTGAATCTTTCAATACGCTACTATAGTTCATCTAGTCGTGTTGACTTTTAATTACTGTAAGACGAGTGGTTACACTTATTTAAAGTTTATTTTGTTATAGCTACTGGTTAAAATTTTATTCATTTGTGTTTGTATGTGTTCATATTGAGGCATATTCATGCTTGGAATGGATGTTTTCTTTCAAGAAATATTCCACAGGGTCGTGCTAGAAATGGGTGGTAGAAAGCCGTCCCTCCTTCCATGTCCCTGGCGCTTTAAAGGCAGTTGGCACGATAAATCGCTATACAGGTGTAGGATTTGTACAACTGGCTTAACAGAATTCCGTGACCTCGGACAGGCGCTGCGTGAAGCCTTTCCAAGGAGGGTACCTCTATAACGCCCTATTGAGCAACAACTTTACGTCCCAAACGCCTTCCTTGCCCGCCCGCCCACAAACGGACGACCGTTTCTGACGCTCGTATTCATTCATTTGCTGAGCAAATTATGAAGCAAAGGGATTGGTATGAAGCGGCGGTGATGCTGCATGCATATATGGGTACAAATATGCAGCCGTATCTTCGGTAGCGGTGATTGGCAAGATGCGTACGGGAAACTCGTCCGAAATCGATTTACAAGTCACTGAGAACGGAGGCTTTTTCTTCGCCGGATTTTGACCGTTTCACTCCGTTCTTTCGCCATTTCCCCACTATACAGCGCCCTACTAGCATTTTAGGCTAAGTAGGGTACGCTAGATAAGAGAGGTAACGCTGTTCGCGAAGCTTCTCCATCACCTTTCTGGCAATGATGATGACAATCGTGTGAACCTTCTTCTTGTTCCTTTTTTTCCGCTTGATCGCGGGGACCACTGTTCTTGTGGCACGTCGCCACCCTTTCCTGTTCAGGGCATTACCTGCCGGAACTCGATTTCAGCTGGGACCTTCTCACCCTTCTTCTTTTCTTTGGGGCTCTTCGTGGTCGCGTGTGCCGTGCCAAAGCCAGTTTACTTCGTGGTGTTCAGGCCTTCTCAAAAATGCTTCAGGTCTTCTCAACATATGATGTATATGGTCGCAGTCAGTCAGTATGGTGTTAAAGGACGTGAAATGTCTCACTCCGGCCGCGTTTACCAGTACTAGTCGGTTCTTGAAGACAGCCCCCGCGCTCAAGTAGTACATGGTCGTCCTTCCTTGTGCAAGTAGTACAGCCCCCAAGCTAGAGACTGTCCCACTCTCGCAACTCCACAGCGAGCGAGGAGCGAGCTACAGCCGCTGAAAGTTCTAGTTCTAACGCCCGCTCAGTTGGACCGCCTTACTTGCTAGATGCCCTCCGACGGAGGGCCGCTCAGTTGTTCTTTGTTGGGGCGGCGGGCATTAATCGGAATCGCATACCCTTTTCGCTGACCACACTCGTGCTCACAAACTATTACTGTTTTCGGCGAGAAGAAATTTAACCACGCGTAGCTCGCCAGGCTCTGACGTGGCACCCTCCGCATTGGTACGGTGTTGGAACAGTCCAAACCGTTCACCCCCACGCCACGTTGAGGCTGCGGATAGGATTTGTGGGGTTTTCAGCAATACAATAACAAATTTGCACTGTTCACCCGCGACTGTGCTACCATTAGTTATCGGTCCAGATGGAAAAGAAGCATTGGCAGAAAACTGAGTACTCCCGTGAGTAGGCTCATTCCGTCTCCCTGGACATCATACCGTCAGCACCGATACCACCTGTAATTCTTGCGACTGCGCGAACCGCTGAGGCTAGACACGTCCGGACCCACTAGTTGATCCCTTTGAGCCGTGAAACATGGCGACGCACTCAGTAGTGACGGAAACTCGGAGCAGGACTAAAATTGCATTTTCTAAACTACTGTCGGATAGTTTCCGTCTCGTCCCTCAGTGGAAAAAAAAACTAGGAAATATCTGTAGTATACTTGTTGACTGATTCAAAGACCAGTAGATGCACTGGAGATACTTAGTTGCTTTGCTTGTCCCAAGCTTTATTTCAGCACTGTATATGAAGGAATTCTAAATGAAGGCAACTTCAAAGGCAGGTCCCTTTGAAAGGAGGTGGGGGAGGGTGTGGTATTTGAGGGGTCCCTCTTGCGGGCATTACCTTCATCATAATGAGATTATTGCACTTTAAATTCGTTCACTCACGCCTTCCCGCCTTAGCAAAGGCTCAGTCTCCATAACGGTACCTCTGGTTCTGCTTCAAGATTCTTTCATAGCCCTCAAGGAAACTTGTGCACAAATCCGTTTACATTTTCCTGAAGACTCCCGTGTCACGATACGGTGACCTGTTCTTTCTTCCCTCCAAACTCGTAGTCACTAGAGGAGTCTCCGCTAGAGAGCTATATTTCTGAGCTATATTTTTGCTTTCTCCTTACACAGCTCATTCGTTTCCAACAGGAAACTTGTGCCTATTATGCGGAAAAGGACATGTCCACAATCGTTGAGAATTCCCCGAATGGGTTGTGTACTGAGTAACAGTTATGTTAGGCAGGAGAGGTAGTGTTTTCAGTAGCTGAGCAGTTCTACTGTCTACATCTGACTGTTTGGATAGTAGATCGGACGAGGTATGTTGAGGAAGGAGTGGGTGGAGTCGCATTCTGGAGAACTCCTCATCAGAAATATGTGTCCCGAGCCTAATCTCTACATGGCCAGAGTCCATGGCCGGACGGCTCATTTTCTCCCATCGGCACAGTTTACTTCCATGGTGACCGTTACTGTGCCGCGTTCCTTTATTGTCTTATTGTCAAAGGTAATGGAGAAGTTAATCTTCCTGAACACGAATCCGCGTTGGTGGGGAGACCAACCTCCAGGGAGGCGAGATTTTGTCAATGTTAGTTCAGGAATGCAAGATACTATTCGCCGCTGTTGGTGTAGAAAAAACAGGCAGTCATCCGAGGGAAACCGTTAGGTTAGCGGCTATGGGTGACTGCGAACTGTCCAACCCTTCCTACGCCGAGACTGAGCAGCAGTGCGTTTCTCTCCCATAATTAGCCGTAATTCACCAGACGAGACATCTACGGCAAAGGCAATTCTGGAGCACATGGCGCTCAACTAGTATTACAAACCATCGAAAGTTTTCTTGAAGGCAGTTGGCACGATAATATGGTACTTGGCCTGAAATGTCAACAGGGCGCTATATAGTGGGGAAAATGGCGAAAGAACGGAGTGAAACGGTCAAAATCCTGCAAAAAAACCATCGTTTTCAGTGACTTAGAAATCATTTCGGACGAGTTTCCCGCAGGCATCTTGCCAATAAAGTGCCCGCTTCATACCATTCCGTTCGCTTCATAATTTGCTTAGCAAATGAATCAATGCAAGCGTCAGGAACGGTCGTCCATTTGTGGGCGGGCGGGCGTGGAGAGCGTTTCGGTATGTTATAGCTAGATAGGGCCCTTATAAGGGTGCTTTCTTGGAAAGGGCCTGCGCAGCGCCTGCTCAGGGGCGCGGAATTCCGTCCTGCCAGGCGTATTAATCCTACTCGTCTTTAGGGATTTATCGTGCCAACTGCCTTAAGGTGTTGACGATAAGTGAACGATAAGGTACATATTCCACAAGGAATTGCAGAGGTCGCTTCGTGGAAGGGGCACAATTTGTGGAGCCTCATTCAACTTCTTTCCGACACTTGGCGACCTTCAAGTAAAACCCCATGAGGTAGTGCAATATTTGCGTACCACACTTTGGCTCTGTCAGAATTGCTTCTACCACTTTGAACCAGTCGAATTCTCTCATTGGATTTTGATTAGAAGTCAATATAGTCTTTGAGTGATTGTGTAATATAATTTCATGAACAATATATAATTATCCAAATATTTTTGTGATGTAGCCGTCTTATGTTTTAGTCTCCAATGGGGGAGGGGCATATTCGGTCAGTCGCTGGTGGGGAGGGAGCAGTGTTGGGTTTGGGAAGAAATTTCGACTGTTGATTTATCCTGTTTCAGGCGCACTGCACTGGTGGTGCTTCAGAAGTACTCTTCTTGATAGCTGATCGGAAGTTTCTCCCTTATCCTCCCCATTCTACGCCAAAATCTCGGGGTAGAGTGGAGGGATTAATGGAAGGTAGGCAGAGTTGTGTGCGTGAGTGGGGGGGAGAGGCGGTAGTGTCGGGGGAAGGAATTCCAGTCAGGGTCATAATTCGGAAAATTCGTGACAGGATATATGTACCTTGATATTAGATATCACTTGGATGTTCCTACGAAATTACTACCTTTTGTTCGGGGGTGAGCGGACCAATTCCGTTGGTCATTCAAACAAAGCCTGTAATACTAGGGGCAGCGCACAGTGACCGATATTCGAGTATTCGACGAATTACTCGCTTACGAATAACGAACGCATCTGGGATCTCCCAGTTCAGCGTAGACCCTCGACATATGGCCCACCATTCTTACACCATCTGCCGATGGTGCACTATCTCGTCGACCTTTCTGCCCACCGCTAACCTACGCCAAATGGGTCTATCGGTTTTTGAATCGCTCCTCTGGGCGGGAATTCTCACCTCCGCTCCATTGCCGTTAAACCATCATTTTGGCTTCACTCGACAGATTATCCTGAGCAATTAATTCAAACGTGCGACCAGTTTTCATAGACCGTCCG